CATCGACTTGGTTTACCACATGAGAGCCCGAGGTCTCCGTCTTTCAGGAAAGTCCCAGCTCCTCGGTAGCAGTAAGGTCCTGGCCCAAGGGATCCACAAGGCCCTCCAGAAGGCTGATATCAATATCCAACTGACCACCAAGACGAGAGACCTCGGACTTGACTTTGCTTCAGGACGGCGATCTACGAAGGTTGCCAAAGGTAGATTGAAGAAGACCTTCGCCAGGGTCGAGCGGGTCAAGAAGCTCCTGAAAGCCAACAGCCAAGCCAGCAAGCTCAACCTCCCGGGGGTCAAGTCACAAGCTTCTTGGGGAATGATGGCCCAAGGGGCCTCGCCTACTGCACTGAAGCAGCTTCGGTCCAAGATGGCCGCACTCACGGGGAAGCAGAGAGCTGGTGGCTGTGCAACAGTAGCTATCCGACTTGGCCCAGGAAAGAAAGGCGACCCTCTGTTCTTTGCGCGGCACGACATGGTCAAGACATGGCTGCACATTCTTCCTGCTCTTATGCGTGAGCGGATTGCTTTCCAAGCTGCCTGGACTAAGTGCGTCGAGGCCATGCGGGCTGCAGCTCACCCGCGGGGCAAAGTCCGGGGTCCCATAGCTGCTCTTGTGACCACGTTGCTTCGGAGCGGATGGGATCCCCAGCTCCCCTGGCAGTGGAAGGACCCCTATGGAGATACCTACTACTTGGTCCCCGACGAGGCCCCACCTGATAGAGCCCAGTTCTACTTGGAGGCGGCTTCGGGATCTAAACCAGGATGGCAGCAGTGTGTACTGGCCGAGGTTGAGGGCACTTTCGAGCAGCAGATTTGGCGGGACTTGGCAGCAGCCCATCACTTTTGTGGGAAAGGCCTCGAACATGGGGCCGATCTCACAGTTATCTTGAAGCTCATCCGTGCCCATCGGCGTGCGCAGCGTCATGGGCAGACTGCACTGCTCGAACGTATCGCTACAGGCGCGCTGTGGCCAGGAGATCGCCGGCACCCTGCCGAGCCCGATCGACAAAAATGCCCTCGGTGCGCTGCTGCACGCCACTACCCGCTCCCCGTCGAGGATATCCTGCACCAGCAGTGGTTGTGCCCATGCCTGGCGCCCACAGAGCATACGGCTTTCGACCTCCTACCCCAGGTCCAAGGCGAGCACGAGGAGTGGGCTTGTTTCTGGTACCGTGGAATTGTTCCGATTATCTGGATTTACCCTCACATCGACAAGATCCCCGAATGGAAATTCGAATGTTCAGGAGGTTTTGCCCAGGACCAGCGAATGGAGCTTCCCCCAGATGCCTTTGTGGGTACCGACGGCAGCGGCGGCGACTACACCAGTGACCCGAGGCTCCGTAGGTGCGGCTGGGGTGTTGCTGTTTGGGCCCAGGGCGCCATCCAAGGGGAAACCTGGGGCCCGCTCCTGGGAAGGCACCAGACGGTGCCCCTCGCGGAACTTGAGGGCCTCACGCAGGCCCTGAAACACACGGCTGGCCCAGCTACTTTCGTTGTAGACTGTGCCTATCTTTTGAAAGCGATCCACGGGGGCCCCAGCCAGGTGCAGCCTCTGCACGCGGCTGCCTGGGCCCGCTTCTGGCATGAATTGTATTCCAGGCCAGGAGGAGCCCAGTTTCAGAAAATTAAGAGTCACCTCACGGAGGCTGACATAGGCAGGCATGTTTCAGAAGCCGAATTCAGGTGTAATGAGACCGCTGACGAGGCGGCCAAGAGGGGAGCCGCCCTTGCCCAGTTGCCCACTGCCTCACTCGCCGAAGTCGCTCGAATCGATTCCCTGGCCAAGAAGGTCCTGGAACATCTGCTCGAGGTAGGAATGGCTGAGGTCCTGGCCAGGCAGGCTGATGCAAAAGCCCCAGGAGCCCCGACCCCAGCCGACCTGGTTGCAGCCCACGGGGCGCGACGAGATGAACGAATCGCTGCTCGAATGGACGCCCGCCAGGCTACTACCCACCAGGTGGTTCCAAGGCGAGGCTCTTCTTTCTGTACTGTCTGCCTGACGGCACCAACCCGCCAGCTTCCCACCAACGAGTGGCTAGCTGCCCCGTGTCGCTCACAGAATTCGGTGCCTGCGCGGGCTGTGGTGGTGCGAGGTGTGTGGTGGTTCGGGGCACACCCGCTTCAACACTTTGGGGAAGGCCTGCCAGCGCCCGACTGGAGCTGGCAAGAAAGCATTGGATAAGCTTGCCAGAGGACTCCTCCCGCCCAATCGGGATGCCTGGCCAGACGAGTCTAGGCCCAGTCCAGAGTGAGCTATCCTGCCCCCTTTTCCTCTTTTAAGGGCCCTGGCATCGGTACCAGACTCAGGCCCTCGTGTAGTCGTTCCCAGGAGGAGGAGGAGGAGGAGGAGGAGGAGGAGGAGGAGGAGGAGGAGGAGGAGGACCGTCGACCGTCGCAAGGCTGCCTGATGGATGCCGAGACGAACGACGCGCAGGGGGGATGGGACGATCCGTGGGCGGTGTCGAGTGTACAGTAGGAGCTCGACCCCAAGAGACCTTCCACGAGAAGCCAAACCATGATGAGACCCCAGGATTTCCACTGCTTTTTGGGTATGGGGGGGTCGTCACGACTTCCATCGTAGGACCATCGGAACCCCAGAAACCCAGGGCACCCTAGAGGCAAGCAAGGTGTTTCTTGGCATGGGCTTCCACTGTAAGCTCGGCCAGCTGCGAGAGGGGAAAAGGCGCAGGGGTAGACCTCCAAGGTCTCTCTAAATCAACGAATGCTCGGACGGGTACTGCGAGTCGTGATTTTGCCGATCTGCGGTCCCTGGAATTCTCGAGACCGTTCCCTGGGATGGTTTTTCGTCCTGGATCGTTTTCCGCGCGATCCAGGAGCGTATGAATCGTGCGACCGTAACCTGAATTCTTTCCTTGGCGGCTAGGACCAGACGCCATATTGGACGCCGCGCCAGCGCTGCAGCCGATGTGCCGAACCGTAGGAAGACGGCGTTGCAATTCAATCCTCGGGGCCCTCTGAAACTGCCTCCAGTTAGAAGCCCTCTGGCCTCCTGAAAAGCCTTCTGCGTCTTTACAACAAAAAGGTTCAGAACACCTTTCAGACGGCCCAGTGGCTTGCGAGCCTTCTGAGAGGCCCGCCCCCTCTCACTCCCCCCCAGTCTGGCCGCCGGAAGATGCAACTCGACCCCTGGCGGCCAAATGACGGTAAACTGGTTGTGTTGGTCACTGATGTTCGATACGGGCCAACTTGCGTGAACTACTGTGGGCAATTTAGGTCTGTGTTTCGGTTGGTCACCGCAACGTTGGGCAGCTTGGCAAACGCTGCCACGCGGATCCGTAGGGTCATGGCCCAAAAACACTAGGGATGTGCCACATGTTTTAAAATTCGGTGGCACCCCTCACGCAGATCGGCAGGGTCACGACGTCTTACCAATCGCCAGGTGTGGTAACCCCTCTGGTCATCTATTGGTTTTGCTCATTACGAGTCGGCCTCGCATAAAGTTCCGATACTGCTTCACGACAGCGCCCAGGCCTCATGACATAGCTCTTGCATAGCGCATTCTCCGAGAGAGGGGGCCAGCGACAGGGGGCGAAGCCCATACGGATAATAATAATCATGATACAACAAATGATAAGAAGAAGAAACATACTACTAATCATAATCATAATATGCGCCATGCAATCTGGCGAGATATCATGGCCCCCCTATTCATCCCCTCCTTCTTGGCCGCCCCCGAGTAATGGACGGTGACCTCACGGGGGGTAACAAAGTGGGCCTAAAGGGGCCCTTTAGGTCCACGTTTGGCCTCCTGCTGGATCCACAGGGGCCCTGAAGGGCACCATATAGGGTTTGTTCTTTTCACCCCCCATGAAGGTCACCCCCCACTACCATCCGCCCGACTGACCCCGGGTGCACTCTGGCCAGAATTCCGGGACGAATCCAGACGTGTCCACGAGGGCGCCCCGGGAGCGCTGGGAGCCCGAACAGCTGTCACACACACACACACACACACTCAGAGCTAAAGAATTCGCCAATGTCGAGTTCCCTGGTTCCCTTCGTCTGTCACGTTTCCCCCCTGCCCTCCTGCACTTGGTCGCTATCCTTGAATGGAGCGCTTCTCAGAAGGCGGCGGGACTCCTCAGAAGCCCTCACACCTTCTGAGAAATGCTTGCTGTCTTCGGGGAAGGCTCTGAAAACTTCTTGGAAATCGGGGGGACTTCCGAACCTTCTGAGAAGGCCTTCTACTTCTCACGTCCCCCCCCCTCGTTCGCCGCCGATCTTGGGCGTCGCGTAATGCGGGGGCTATACATGAGGGCGCAGCGAGGGCTGCAGAAGAGGGACCCTTGTGGGCCTCTCGAGGGGCCCTCCAGGGCCCCCAGAGGGGGCCCCCCCCCATTGATCGCCCCCCCAATCTAGGCGACGCCTACTGCTCGAGAAGCCGTACGCCTCTCACTCCCCACCCCCCGCGCTGGCCCTTCCAGAAGGTCCAGCCCGCCGGAGGGGGGGGAACATATTTCGTGGAGGAGGACGACGACGAGGAGGAGGTTTGCAATGCTCTCCGGCCCAGCCCGCCGGTCACCTCGCTCGCCGTGTCGGCTACACGCAAGAGCGACCTTTGGTGCGCGGCTTTTTGGGGGCCGCGGAGAGGCCAAACACACAAGCGCGCAGGACGCCACCGCCGCACCGCGCTCGGCGATCAGGGGATCCCGGTGGGCCCGCACCAGAGGTCCCTCCGGTGAGAGGTCACTCGTTACGTGGTCGCAGGCCCAGAGGTTGACACCAACACCAAGATCGGCGGTGCGCCTCCACCGAGGGAAGACGATCCCGATCTCGATGCTGGTGGTCATATCCTGGCTTCCAAGGTGGCCGAAATATTGCCACCAACACCGAAATCTGGGATCGTCTCCCCCCTGTGGAGGCAACCCCCTTCGTGTCGGTGTTGGTGCTGATCTCCAGGCCTCCAACGTGGAGCCGAGCCGTGGCGATCCTCCCCGCCGCCCCCACCCCCCGGGGCCGCCGCGGCCGCCCGCCGCCCCTCCTGCGCGCGGCAGCGCCGCCCGCCGAGGAGGGCCGCCGCCAGCGCGGCGGCGGCGGCGTGGAGCGGCCCCATGGGCGACGAGGCCCCGGCCATCGCTCGGACGTCCACGCCCTTTGAATTGTTCGGTCTCGTGCGTGGCCTTTCCGCCAGAGGATCAGGGATGCTCCTCGAGGGTCCTCGCCGAAGGAACAATGCACACGTCCGAGCGATGTCAGGAGCCAGGACGAGGATGCATGCCGAGCCGGAACCGACCGCCGAGGCATCCCTCTAGGCCTAATTGCCACGAGATGTTCTCATAGAGCCCCGAGCGGTCCGAGGACGAAAACAGATTTCTCTCGGAACCAAAGGTGCTGAAGTAAGATAGCCTCAGCCATATTTGTGGTTTAAAAGCGTGTCGTGCAGACCACGGGAAGCTCGTTGACCATTCTCCGGTGGGCATATTGGCAGGCCAGGACGCCTCGCCACTGATCGAACATTTGGGTTAGGATAATTTCGAGTGGGGAAAAC